AAAAAACAGATGGAAATAAAATGTAAAACAATACTGCAAAAGCAAAATTTTGTTTCAGGGATCCTGCTCAGTGTGGCCTGTGCCGAAAACCACCAGTACTACTTTCTAAACACTTCATCTACATGGACAGATGCTCAGAGTATCTGCAGACGCAACTACACCGATTTGGCCACCATTGAAAACACAGCTGATGTTGATGCTTTTCTGAGGACTTCCTTAAACTATACAGGTCAGTTTTTTATTATTTAAGGGGAGATAACAAATTTGTAGACACATGCAATCAAAACCTCAAATTATTATTCCATTGTTAATAAAAGCATAATTGTATGTGACTATTGCTGTTTGTTTAGGCAAAGCTTGGATAGGTCTCTATGATGAAAGGATAAACAGCTGGAAATGGTCCCTAAATGACAGTAGCTTCTATGGTCCAGGAGAATACACATTTAGAAACTGGAATGGCGGACAGCCCGACGATTTTTATGGACAACAGCACTGTGTTCAATTTTATGGACAGGGAAGTTGGGATGACATTGGGTGCACAGACATAATACCATTTATCTGCTATAATGGTAAGATTTTATTTAGTGTAAAAAAGTTGAAATTGAAAATTTATTGAAATACAGATTTTTTTCTTGTAGTTGTTCTCAATCTATTTCTATATCTTTATTTATATATTTACAGGTATGCTAGGTGGATCACCATCCTATGTTGTCAGTAATATGTCACTAAATTGGAATGAAGCGCAGAAGTTCTGCAGGGCCAATTATGTTGATCTGGCCAGGTAAGAGGACTGTATTTAGATAGACAGACAGACAGACAGACAGACAGACAGACAGTTAGTTTAAGATTTTGGTTTAAATATTTTATTAGTTGTTTTAAAGTTGCTGTTTCTCTTTGTATATACTTCTTCCTGCTTTGTTTTCCCCTCACAACACAGTGCAGTCCTTCCTTCTGCTAACTGTGCTGCATTTATTTCCTGCCATTGCAGCTGCGAAGTTGCTTTGTTACCAGTATTCATGTATTTTTGGTAACTTTTATTATTATCATTAAACCTTTTTTTTTCTAGGAAGGTCAATTTTATGATTGACAGTCTCCTTGGCAATGGAGGCCTAGCATGATAATAATAATATTAATAATAATAATAATAAAATTAGATATAATTATGTAAAAAATGTCTGTTAGAAGACATTACATCTAAAACGTTCTATATATGAATAGCATCCACATAGACAATTTGACAGAAACAAGCTTGTTGGTAAAAAGTTACATCTCACACAAAAAAGAAAAAGTCAGGATCACTTTAAGACACTTAAGGAGATCAATGTTTTAACTTGCAAGATAGATTACAGTGTTACATGTTTATAGGGCCAGGTAAGCAAAACACAATTTTACCAACCTGGGCAAGAATATTTGGTAAAGTGAAGAATTTCCAATTATTGGTACAAATAAAGATACTCCTTGGAGCTACTTTAATTTTTATCATTTCAGTAGTTGGAACACATGCTTTTTTCATGGTTTTGGTTTTGTTCAAGTTTTATTTCTGAGTTTTCATTTGTGTGTTCTAGGTATTTTTGATTGTATTTGAGTTCTTAGATATTTCCTATCTCCTTTTCCCTATCTCCCTTCTTGCCTCTGTTCACACCTGCTCCCAATCTGCTACTTACACTGCAAAAACAATCTATAAATAAATAAAAATTCCTTAAATCAAGTGTATTTTACCTTAATTTTAGCAGGTAAATGGGATGATTTGCCAATGGAATGAGTATTTTTACTCTTAAAATAAGATAATTAGATAA